AAAAAATCCCTTAATACCCAGTACAACACATAATTAATTTTTATGTATCCATAACCAGACTTTTTAATCAAGATTTTTAAAAAGCAAAATCATCACTACTGGTATCATAAAAAGCACGTAAGTGCAGTTTCTCYTTAACCTTTTCTAAAACAATATGTACTGAAGTAAATTTTGTCTTAAGAATGTTAAAGAACTAAAATCAATAATTTTAATAGAGATCTTATAAAGTAACTTTCAAAAAGAATATAATAATGCAACAGAAGACCAGAAATCACTAAAGATAATTTGTATTGAAGTCTATAGACACATTAAAGACTGATATTATGATGTTGCAAACTTTTACACCAACATTCAAATAGAATGAGACAAGCACAAAAGAACCCTAACTGCAACTACAGAAACACAACCATAACTGAATGGCTGTACTTTCCGCACCCCCCTGAGTCTCCTTTCACAAGGAGGGGGATTATAACACTGTGAGAATTTAGTAACTCCACATAAATAACATCTTGATTGGCAGTCCAACTGTACCATATTAAAACACAARAAAGCTCCTAGTTTAGAACTCCTGCTAAATCTAAGCAGACAGCCAGACGTGGGGAGCAGGAGTGTTCATGCTAACACAGGCAAGACCAACTATCAAAAAAAAAACAAATCTAAACATTAAACCCTTCTTTCAGCTATCACCAATCAGCTTTTAAGTAAGAGGTGAACTTTGTGGAGATCTGCAGAGAGTGGTCTCTGAAGACACAACAGGAAATATTCTGTTAGAAATGTTTTAGACTAGGCTGGCATAATTTATGAAGATGAAGTCAATATCTCTGAAATGTGCAATACTTGTTTCTGAGAATAAGGTTTTTTGAGAGTTCCCTTAAGTTCAGACTTCTAAAGCCTTTCCTGTCTGCAAGTGTGGAAAAAGAGGACACTGGAGGAAAGGCAAGAGAGGTAATGGTATAAACATCCTAAATGTATTTTTTCAATCCAATGAGCAATGAGATTTCAACGAAGCCAGGTACTGCTAAGCCATGTGAGGATCATGCTGCTGAATAGATGAGTACGCAGCAGAAGTCAGTTTGACTGAGCAGACAGATGCAGGTCTGTAACATAAGAAAAGCAGACAGAAAAACATGGCTGAGATGTGAAGAATTAGAAACACAACTAAACAGAATTSTTTCTAGTTACTGTCTTAAGGAACAGGAAACTGCAATGGAAAAGATTAAATGCAGTATTGCCTTAAGTAAAATGTCACTTATCTCTTAAGAACATGACATGCACACATTCCAGTATGAATCACAAGTATGAATCCAGTATGAATCTATCTATTCAGGAACAGGAAAGTGGCTCTGCTAGTCATGAGGCAACAGTAYCCATCAAATTTAAATCTACAATCATGACTGTAGATTATTATCATYACAGCTGTCAAATACATGGCCTGTGACCTCCTGGATCCCAGGATCTACTCCTAAAGAATGTGTAAGACATATCTATTACCCTTTTCATTCCAGGTACAACCTTAACACCRAATTCACACTGTATTAGGTGAAAAATGTGATAATTCACAAAACAAAGTGCTAATCCTACAAATTTATGGTGCCAATTTGAATGTATTCATAAAACCTGATGAGTTAACCTCACACCAGAAGGCATTCTACTAAATGAGGTACTGTCTGTTCTGCAGTTGGCATAAATTCAGTCTTATGTGCTCCAGCTAATTCAACAGAAATGTACTTGCAGATGCACACCTGACCRGATCACATGTCTATTAATGCAGCACACAGGTCAGTCACTCAGAATCACCACTTCCTAACATACATAGAATCACATTTTTTCTGCAAGCATCACTGCCACTGTTATTTGTTGAATATTAAAAGTTAAAATGAGGAAGCATGGAAATRAAAACCAACTTAGGTCTACTGCTTTCTCTACCTTGAAGCCAACCAAAACATAAACTGCTTTTCAAAAATCTTACAAGTACATGAGTTTATCTATAAAAGAACAACAACAGAATATACAAGAAAATGTTAAACTTTTAGCATTGGCCAATATACTATATTGCACTTATATTTTCTGTTGAGTTCTCATGAAATTTAAGTATTTCTTTGTCACACACTGATTGAAAATAGTATAAAAGTAAATAAGCTTGTTTATGTAATATTTTAAAAGATAAAATCATCAAATCCCATGTATAAACAAGCATTTTTCCATCTGGCTTACCAACTGTAAGCTCAAATTCAGCTTACTTCTAAGAATGATGGTTCTCAGAAATTTTCCAGGAAAGGTTCCTCTGCTGTTGGGATAGCACACTGATGCACACAGAATTACAAGGTTAAAATAGCTATACATGGATAATGTTTAGAATCCAGTATTTGTATTCCAAATTACTTGCATTAAAAATTTTATAAAGTGATAAATCAATTTGCAAATATGACAGAAGAACTTACATAATCCAGTTCACAAGTGTTTTGCACAGATTAAATATATCTGCTTATTCCTAGAGACATGACAATAAAATATAAATCTAACATGGATAAATGATCTTGTTCACAGTGATGGTTCAGGTACAGCACTATCCCATCTCTCCCAATTAAATCCCTGCATTTTTTACTGTTTCAGAAAAAAAAAGTTAAAAAACTWTATAATRGAATMAATTAAATTTCCAGTCTAGAAACAGAYGATTTTATGAACACATCTTCCCTCAATTGAGCAGTCTAGCTCAAGCCTCAGTAGGAATCTCTAATCACCATACAAAAATACAATTTTTACAGATGCTGGAACAAACTTGATTTATTGGGACAATAATAGTAATAGGTATACAGCTACCATCTTTTTCCACATAAACAAGGTGTTTCAGATGCCAATCAGGCATTGCATTTTCCTGGCAGTAGACCACAATTTGTACTTTTCCTTCTATTTCAGTGTCTTTTCAGCAGAACAAACCCATAAATAGATGTAGGAGTACAACSGAGCAGATGATAAACTATGACATGTGGGCTGAACAAGCAATTGGGAAAGTGAGTGGTGAGAAGAAAGTGACTCTAGTGGAAGTAACTTTAAATAGTTTTGCCATCAGATAAAGCATTCACATCACACTCAAGACATCTGATAGACTTGCAAGGAATAGGAAGASGAAAAGCTTTCATTCCAAAACATGCGAAATACATACATGCATCCATGGGTGTATGCACAAAACCTCAACCAGGATTCACCAAACATTTAGGTAATCTTTGTTTAAGGAATCATCCAAACACTGATCCCAGGAGAAGCCAGGCTGCCAGCCTTCACACCTCTTTTTAGTAGGGGAGAGGGAAATGCTAACCCAAGCAAGCTGCTGCTTAGCACACTATGAGAGCCCATATGTATTTGACCATTTGTTCCACATCTTAAATCTCATGAGATTCCAGCATTCAATCTCCAGCATTAGAAACAGAGACTTTATAAAATTTAAGCTCACAACATACGACTTTTTAATGTAAGAGCATTAAAATAGTGATGAAATGCATTCATTAGATCAAAGACTTCATCTATATCCAAGAAATATGATGAAAAATACAAAAACAAGTACCAAACTATAGGCACTACAAGTTCCATACAGAGTTTCCATACAGAAAATTAATTTCAAATGTCTTGCCAGAAGACACAAAAAGSATTACTTTGCCACTTTTTAAAAGGCAATAACATCTTTTGCAGTATTGTAATTATGATATACAGGAAAACCTTTCCCTACAACAGTTTGAGGATTCCAAAGGTGTTCAAGACTAGGCACAGCACCACCCTGAAACCTAACAATTCCTGGAAAACAAACAATTAAAGCTTTTTTTTCTGGTTTATTTCACAAGTAAAATTTTGAATCTATAAACACATTTTRGGACCTTTGTTTTTCCATACTAGGTTTCATTTTTTCATCTACAATAAAAGTTGCTCAGTCTTTTGTCCCTCTCTGGAGCCATCTTAGAATTTAGCAACAGGAAGTTATTTAAGAGGTCTACTACGTTTGTGATGAAGAGAGAACTGCAGGAGAGCAAAATCAATGTCGAAGGGAGTGAGAAATTGCGCAGTCATGTAAAAAGTTTGCCTGAAACTTCAGTTCTGAGAGCAAAGCTGCAACTCAGCAGCTATTTTAAATCACTATCAGAAGGATCCAGTCTGGTTTAGCTACACAGAACACACTGTGAAACTCYCTAAAACACTAATTCAATGCAAAACTTGCAGCATTTAGCTGTCCCCAACCTAAAAGTTTTAGTCCTGAACAAATGTATTCTAATTAAAATACTCACTTCCTYTGTTCTCGCAATTTTAAAAATAATCTTATTTTTTTTCTTACTTCTCCTTATGCACAAGGATAGCTTAAAAKACATAAAAAGGCAAGCTTCAAGTACTTGTGAGCAAAATTCAAAAACACACGATTGCACGTTATGAGTCACTATATTACACATCTAGTATCTATCAAGGTGGTACTTCCCGTTGTAAGATCTCAGCAACATAAGCAAGTCCCACAAAATTTAAAACAAAACAAAACAAAAAAAAACAAAACAAAAACAAAAACAAAACTTAAACTGTGCTTTGCCTTTTGTTGACACTTTCTGTACTCTCGTAGCAACAGTTTAGGACATGTTCGGGTCCACAAGAAACATTACCAGTATAAATCCCCCAACGYAATAATTCCTTCCTTTCACAGAGGAACACAGAATCCAGGTCAAAACTTTCAGCCGTTATCCCCTCCCATGGAAGTCAGGGCCCGGACAGACCACGCCGTGCCGCTTCCCCGGGGCGCTGCCTCTAATCCCTCACGCAGCCGAGGGATCCCACCKGCTCCAGGGAGCTGCGGTGCCTCCCCCGAGTCCCGAAACTTCTGAGGMGCCCCGAACACGTACTCTGGGGTCCGAGGGCAGCCCCGTCCCCCGCCCAGCCCGGCGGGCACCTGCCCTTCCCCGGGAGGCGGGGGAGCTTTGTGGGGGAGCTGCCTCAAGAGAGAGGAGCCTCCCCTCAACGGCATCCCTTACCTAAGAGGAGCAGCTTGACCTCCCTGGCCGCCTTCTCGCCRTCCTCCCGCAGGTTCCTGTCGATCATCTTGCTCCTCTCCACCGCCGCCTTGTCCTCGGCGCTCAACGTGCAGCCCATCTTGGGAAGGGGATGTTTGGCTCCGCCGGGAGAAGAGAAGCACGGAGCGGCGGGGTTCGGCGGGGAGGCGCTGAGGAGGGAGGGGGAGCGAGTGCTCCCCGCTCGCTCTCTCCTTCCCCCGCTCCCTCACCTGGGGCGCAGCGGCGTCGGGGGCACTGCGCGCCGGGATCGCCTCACGGCCAGAAGGGGAGGCAGCGAACGGGAGGGGCGCGGGGAGGCTCCGGGGGAGCGCGGAGCGGCCACAGCGCGACTGCAGACGGGCGGAGCGAGGCCTCGCACGGGAGCCGCCGCTCCCGCCGCCGGCCCTGAGGCTGCTGCGCGCGCGGCACCGGCACCGCCCCCGCCCCGCCGGAGGCGCGCGACCGCGCGCGCACCGCCCACGCCGCGAGGGGGGAAAGGAGGGGCGCGGGCAGCGCGTGCACGGGGGGTGGGGGGGAGCGCGGCTGCGCGTGCGCACGGCGGCGGCTGAGGCGTTTTGGGGCGGGGGGCGGGATGGCGGGAGCGCAGCCGGAGCGGAACGGGAATGGGGTTGGGAATGGGGGCTCAATGGGGTCGGAACGGGAATGGCGCTGGAAACGGGGRCACAGCGGGAGCGGAGCGTGAATGCCGCTGGAAGCGGCGCGGCTCGTGACGGCCCCGGGCGCTAGCCTCGGGCACCTGGCGGGAGGGGCGGGCGCTGAGGGGCTCGAGTTCGAACGGCTCCGCGCCGGGAGGTTCCGCTGGAGGTTCCGCTGCTCGGTGGGGCGGGGCAGCGCCCGGCACGGCTCTACCGATACCCGCAGGGGCTGCGGGAGCCGAGTTCTTGGTCCCGTCCCACCCTGTCCCCGCAGCCCGCTGTTTCCCGCTCCGCGATCCAGGGAAGCATCCCGGGGCACAGCAGGCGCTGGGTGCTGGCGGTCGACCCTCGATAGGGGCAGTAGCAGGGCTGGCTCTGATCTGGGCTGAAGTACTTGAACACAAAGCCAAACGAACCATCCCACGCCACGGCTCAAAGCTGCTCATCCCGCTCTCTTTTCCTATGGACCTCACTTCATCCATCTATATAAGTATCGAAATGGGGGAGGGGGTGCCAGGAGGCTGGAGCCGGGCTGTTTCTGGCGGTAGCAAGCAATAGGACGAGAAGGAACAGGCAGAAATTGGTGCGCACAAAGTTGTGCCTGAACCTGAGACAGAGCTGCTTCACTGTGCAGTGACCATGCTCGAACAGATTCCCCAGAGAGGCTGTAGATATCTCCTCACTGGAGATATTCCAGAACCACTTGGATGCAATCCCGGGCCATGTGCTCTGGGATGACCCTGCCTGAGCAGGGAGGTTGGACAGATGACTGACCCACTGTGGTTTCTTGCAGCCTGACCCACTCTGTGGTTCTGTGCACTATCTCAGAGCCCARGCATGGGGCTGTCTGCACTTCCGTGACCCGTCAGAGCTTGTTTTAAGACTTGTTTTGCTCTTTAATATAAAAACCCTAAGAAAACTATGCAATGTTTGCAATCTTTCCACACCGTGCACATGTTGCGCTGTTTGTATTGCAAAAGAAGGATCCCGTTACCCGATAATAGGATCACGAAACAATGGGGTTGAAGGGACCTTGGGATAATCCAGCCCAGGGTCGGATGAGCTACGGCGTGACTGGGACCCGCCACMCCGGCTGGTGAGCACCGATAAGGTGAAGCAGTGATTTCACCRAAATTCGTAGATGAAACTGCACAAGTGATGAAATTCTGTGAATCTCAGGAAGAACTTCAGTCAAAAYATAAGGCGCAAAAGCCTACAAGGCAAATCTGTTAAATTAAGGTTCATTATCCCAGTGAGTCCTTAGGATTTTTTGTTTCTCTAGAATCTCAAGAACCTCTACCCCCAGAATGAGCTCAAAAAGAGCAGCATTTTACAGCACAGAAGGTGTTTTAGCATTCAAGTGCGAAGACTTTAAGTCAGACTCAGCTATTACTATATTTAGCAAATTAAAAGGCTGTAATACTCAATGGAAGACTGTATCAAATGTTCCTTTTTTATTGAATGTGTTGGTTTTTCTTCTTTGCACGTATCTTTAAATGCTGGCACTGAATAAACCTTAAGTAATGGTGTACAAATGAAGTAGATTACACTCAAACTATAACTTAAATGTTTTTCACATTTTCTGGTTGATAAGTATGCTCTCAGCCCCAGCAAAGGATGGTATAGAATCCTTTCCTAAAGAAACCCCAAATACCATTAATTCTCAAGACATTATAAGACCCCTGAGGCATTTTATTTAGCTATCTTCATTGTGTTACTGCTACAGAGAATGCCAGGGCACCTGAGAGGTGTTGCTTGCTTCTCTTCCCTCCTGAATTGTTCACATGCACAGTCCATTTTTTGTTGTCTTGTGCAAACTTCCACACTCGTACTGTGTGGGATAAAAGCTTTTACAAAACRGTTCATCTCACACATGGAAATCTAGTCTTGTTTTATGGCTCTTGGCCCCTTCTGTGGTAGAAGTGGCAATGTCAACTGCTGCTTGGAAAAGAACAGAGTTAGGGGAGATGAAAATTAATAAGCTTAGGGATACTTTTCTGATTTGGAAATCAAGGATAAAGAATGATTTCTGAGATAAACAACACGTGGTTAGGATATTTGCAAGTGAAAGTACAGATTAAGGGATAAGAAAGTAGTAAACAGAGATTGTGGTAGGTGGAAATAATGTGATAATGAGAGCGGCAGATGTTACAAAGATGGAGATACTACAAGTAGGACACCTCAACTTTGCATGGATTTAGTTTCATGTAATCATGTACATAGAGAACACATTTCTATACTTTTGATCAGGAGTATTTGCTAGAGTTCTCTCTCTGTCCTTTTCTCCTTTTTAACACTGACACTACACTCATAGGCAAAACGGGTGAAATAGGCCCAAATTCCCTTTCTTTTTATCACCCTGTTCCTGGAAAACAGAACTGTATAGTATCTGTTCTTTTACCATATAACTTAATCTTAAAAATAAGAAGATTGAGCCTTCTTTTTAGTTCTATTTGACCTAAACCCACTTTATTTCATAATTAGGACTTTCCTATTACCTTTTCCTATTASAAGCCTGTGGATAAATTGTATCTTTTTGTACATGGACAACCTTAAAAAACAAACAGGACTACTCCTGAGTATCTGACATGCATTCATTTGAAATGTGAAGCCAATTTGTATTGATTTTTAATATTTCAGGAATGGAAGAAATGCATGGTAAAGGTTACATAGGATTCACCAATATTATTTCCTTATGCATTTTTCTTTGAAATGATAAGAGATCTTTTCAACAGTGTTCAGCAATGTTAGTTGTTTAGTTTTCTTTTGCAATAATGGCTCAGGGGATAAAGTATTGTGTTCTAGTTGCTTCACATACATAGCAGCTCTCAGGCCCATGGAATAGCAGAAACTCTTTTAACTGTGCCCAAGAAAGCTAAGAATGATTGTGCTAACTCTGTTGTGGCCAAGAAATTCCCAATATTCAGAGCAATGGTTGTCACTGCAGTGCTTTACAACAAATAATGTCTTACATGATGCTCTAGAGCAGTGTAGGCCTGAATGTATCTGGAGCTACCACAGTAATGTGGGATTGTGTATTTCGTCCGTGCAGTTAGAACTGTACAGCTTTTACCTTCATCTGACAAGTTGGGAGGTTGCTTAGGAGCTGTGTGTGTGTTTCATGGCCTCATTCCTGAGAGGGGATTATTTCAAGAGATTTTGTTGTTTTGCTTGGTTTAACAACAAATAGCTGTTGTTTGTTATGACCTCCTTTTGAGTCCCCATCACCAGCCCTTGGGCTCATTTTTCTGTAAGATTATCTTTAGCTGCTGCTGCATGGGCTTAATAGATAAATTTCTTGTGTTTGGTATGAAACACAGTGTTTTGCAGGGATAATGATCAGCCTTCTGCCTTCTATTTGCTGCTTTTCAGATTTTAATTTAAATTATCTGATTTAGTCATCTTACTTGCTCTCATCTTTAACCAGACACAGTACCCAAAATCATATATGAGAAATTTAATATAGTTGTTACAAAAGAAATAGAGGAAAGTGGGAAAGAATTTGAATTTCTGCCTTTGGAAAAGTGAATAGAGCAAGGTAAAATATTTTCTGGATAAAGCATGTAACTACATCCATAATTATTTCTCAATGCTTGAACTAAAATATTTTTACCTAATTTATTTAATTCCCTTTTGTGCTAGAAAATAAAATGTTCCCAAGGTATGGTGCAAGGTATCTTCTTCCATACTGCTCATTCCAACCCTGCTGCCAGGGGCAGGAACACCTTCCACCTCACCAGGTTGCTCAAAGCCCCATCCAAGCCTGGCCTTGAACACTTCCAGGGATGGGGCATTCACAACTTCCTTGGGCATGTTGTTCCAGTGCCTCACCACCCTAACAACAAAGAATTTATTCATAATATCTAATCTAAACCTATTTTCTGTCAGCTGGAATCCATTCACCCTTGTCCTGTCACTACATGCTCTTGAGAAGTCCCTCTCCATCTTCSTTGTAAGCTCCCTTTAGGTACTGAAAAGCCACAATTTAGTCACCCTGAAGCCTTCCTTTTCCAGGCTGATCAAACCAAATTCTCTCAGCCTTTCCTTAAAGAAAAGGCTCCATTCATCGAACCAGCTTGATATCCCTCCTCTGACCTTGCTCCAACAGGTCCATGTCCCTCCTGTGCTGCAGACCCCACACCTGGGTGCAGTGCTCACGGTGGGGTCTCAGCGGAGCAGAGGGACAGAATCCCCTCCTGACCTGCTGCCCACGGTGCTCTGGATGCAGTCCAGGACACAGCTGGCTTTCTGAATCTAAACCAACAGCTGTATTACACCATTGGAAATTTAAACAGATGAAAAAATGATTAAACAGAGCAAATACAAAGCCTCCATATGAATTAAATGTTAAATGCCTCTCTGCCCCATTGCTGAGTCTTCTGGTAAAGTGCTTACAGTCCGCCTTCAAGAACCTCTGGATTACACTGTGTGCATACCCAACGCTGAATCTTCTCTCACGTTACTGTGATTAATTCATGGAGAGTGGATACTTTAGATATTAATTAGCTAGGATAATGTCTCTGTTCAGCAGTGTCACTAATGACAGGGCAGAGCTCATGCAACACTTCTGTGAAGGGCCTTTCTGACTAAGAGATTTTGCACATTTCATTCAAAATGAAATTTTTCTTGGAACCACAAAACAAGTTTGGCTTTAAAATTTCCCAGTACTGTAGCTGAGCAATACTGAATGTATTAAGCTGTAGCTTGGTAGCATACTAACACCTATAGTGCTTGTTAATATGGATGCAAATAATTATTGTCAACG